GGATCCATGCGAGGGCCGGCGGGAGCGATGGAGTCTCCCCTGCAAGGACGGTCCTGGCAGAGAGGCGCTGGGAACTGCACTGGCCAGAGTGGAGCTGCCCCTCAGGAGAAGAGCCAGATTGGCTGAAGGACAGAGGACTGAGCGGGAACATCAGAACCTAGGAACGGCCACACTGGGTCAGACCAAAGGTCCATCCGGCCCAGTGTCCTGTCTGCCCACAGTGGCCAGTGCCAGGTGCCCCAAGGGGAGGGATCACAACAGGGAATCCTCATGGGATCCCTCCCGTCTCCACCTCCAGACAAACAGAGGGCAGGGACACCACCCCTACCCAGCCTGGCTCACAGCCATTGATGGACCTAACCTCCATGAATCTAGCTAGCTTTTTTTTGAACCCTGTTAAAGTTCTCGCCTTCACCACATCCTCTGGCGAGGAGTTCCACAGGTTGACAGTGCACCGAGTAAAGAAAAACTTCCTTTTGTTTGTTTTAAACCTGCTGCCTATTAATTTCATTTGGTGACCCCTAGTTCTTATATTGTGGGAATAAGTAAATAACTTTTCTTTACTCACTTCCCCAACAGACATGATTTTGTAGACCTTTAGCATATCCCCCTCAGTCTCCTCTTTTCTAAGCTGAAAAGTCCCAGTCTTTTTAATCTCTCTTCTGTTCCAAACCTCTAATCATTTTTGTTGCCCTTTTCTGAACCCTTTCCAATACCAACATATCTTTTCTGAGCTGAGGCGACCACGTCTGTACGCAGTATTCGAGATGTGGGCGTACCAAGATTTTATATAAAGGCAATAAGATTTTTTCTGTCTTATTCTCTATCCCTTTTTAATGACTCCTAATGTTGTTTACTTGTTGCCTGCCGCTGTACACTGCGTGGATATTTTCAGTGACTCCAAGACCCTTCAAGGGCGTCTAGCTGTGGGGAGAACAAAGCTGGGTTTTACACCCTGGGGGAGACGTGGGCTGTGCTTGGTCGTTTGTGCGTTACAGCTTTTCCACTGCCTTTTCATAGCCATGGATTATGGGCTGGGCTGCAGACCAGGGTGGGCTGTAACACGGTGGTTCGCCAGTCCCAGCACCTGGAAGGCTGCTTCCTCTGCATCGCCCGGCATGGCCATAGGCACAGGCAAGCGCCGCGGTTGGCCGCGGATCGCAGTTCCCAGCCAATGGGAGCAGCTGGAGTCAGTGCAGCTCAGGATCCTGCTTCTCAGCTCCCGCAGCCAAGGGGAGCTGTGATTGCCGGCCCACCAGGAGCTAACCTGGCGAACTGGGTCTGGCCCGTGGGCCGGTATTTGCCCACCCGGCTGTAGTTACTGGGGGCTGAGGGGCTGCCACGAGGGCATCTGGATAAGGCCACTCGCCCCCAAATATTCCTTTTCGGCCTCTATTCTCACAGGCACGGTGCTGGTGCTCGGCAGAGACCTGTCCCCCCCACTACGGACCCTGCGCCCCCCCCTGCCTATCCTCCCCCGCAGCAAGATGGGCTCAGAGCGTGCGGAAAGCAACGCAGAGGCTGCAGTCTCAGCGCCGAGGTGCGGCCGCCTGCCCTGGGAAGGAACGTCCCGGGAGTGCTGAGGCACAAGCCTGCATCTTTTGTTTCATGCTTGCAAACATTTTCCCTGAGTGTTGGGGTCTGTCAGGACTCCCCTCCCCCAGCGGCCCAGGCTCCCGCGGAGTCCGACGCTGGCGCTTATTTTCAGTAGTGTGGGTGCTGACCCCATGTTCTCCTCTCCGGCCCTGCACTCTACCTAGTTTCTCTTTCACATTTAGATGCATATTGGGACAAGGCTCCTGGGAATGGGACACAACAGACTCAGCTCAGTGACCTCTGCCGCAGCACCTGTGGAATGTGCTTCTGCTGTGGGTGGCACAGAGGATATGCAATGAGCCAGCGTAAATATCTGCAGGTGAGAGCACTGTGTATCCGCGCTGGGGTCCTGCTGATCTGACCTCTCTACCGTTAGGAGTCTACAGAACCCGCAAAACATGCCTCCATCCAACCTCGTACGAGGAGACGTGTAAATTGTATGTCACAGGTACAATGCCGAGCTGATTGGATTCACTTATCCTGCGACCCCTGCAATACTCTGCCAAAGAGGTGAATCGGGGCTGAAAAGACACAGCCCAGGAAAAAGAGAAAAGCTGAACGGGTCTCCTTCACGCAAGTCCCCTTGCCCACAGATTGCTGCATGTACTTTGCTGAATTAAAGCAGAGTCCTCAGTGATGCTGAACTAGTCCCCAGGCAGTCTAGACCTGATACAATCGAAATAGAACCTCTGCTGTTCTACTATTGAGAAAAGAGACATTTAGGATCTCGATGGCAATGAGAGAAACTTCCTGCTGCATCTGCGTGGCTCAGGCATTCGTCTGGTGAGATGCTGTTTGACAGACAGATTCTCCGCACGGAGTGACAGGGCTCGCTCTCTAATAATACAAGGGGAATCAAGAGTCTCTCTGAAGCCAGTGGAGTCACTCCTGGTTCACCCGGAGGAACAGAGCAGAATTTGCTCTTCCCCGCCTGTTCTGCACTGCACCGTCTTTCCTGATAAAGGTCATAAAACATTGACACTAAAACCACGGTCCCAGGTTTTTAGCCAGATAGATAAATGGGCCTTTCTTGACTTGGGACAGCAGCCTGCCGGAGCTGAGCAGTTTGCTCAGCAAGGCCGTTGTGGCCTATTCGTACTGGCTCTTCACTATCTACTGTCTACACTGCAATGTTATTTCAGGATACCGGAGTATCCCGACTTAGCTGGCCCACGTCTTCACAGCAAGCCTGTCATTTTGAAATATAGCGGGCTCACTGTTCCAGCATCCCTGTAAACCTCATTCCACGAGTAGTAAAGGACATTTTAGAATAGTGGGTTCTTTTGAAATTCGGCACCAAATTACGAAAAAAACTATTTCAAAATGAACTCAAAATGAGCTATGTGATTTGCGTAGCTCAAATCCCATGTCTTATTTCGAGCTGCGGTGCAGTGGAGATGCACCAAGTGTATCACACCGGAAACTGGCTTGCAACCCTGCAAGACTGTGATTCAAACACCACGTGCTAGAGTGACAAGAAACAATATCCCCTCAGCCCATTTTTACAGGACAGAGGCTCCCAACTCCAGTGCACTCTGGCTACCAGCAAGCTGCAGGAGCACCTGTTCAAAACATGCCAGGTTCTGCTTGGTGGCACTTTCCTTCCATTGGTGCCACTGAAGAATATACTGCCCTTCAGGCAATGCAGTGAAGCAGAGTGCTCCCTGGAGCTGCTGATGTGCAGGACACCCTTCTTTGCACCCCACAACTGCCGAGGCAGTTCTTTCTTTAGGAAAAAGTTCCTGACCCTCGTCCCAAAACCATCATTCCTGGTGACTGTTCAGCGGACATGAGGGCGAGATGCCAGAATTCTGCGGTGCAGTTTGCACGGTCCTAGTGTGAGAAGGCCGACATCCACAGCGTTTCATCACCGAGGAACCTGACTGGGGTATTTTTCCATCCAGGCATGGAGGGGATGGGGATGGACCTTGTTTTAATAGCTGTTTTAACATCAGATACTTTGTGCCCACAAGACGGCTCTGGGCAGGGCTCCCTTTTGGTCAAATTACCGTCAATGCGGTAGAAGCTATCTGTGCGCAACAGCAATCTGCTGCTGTCTTACACAGAAAACACGGCACATGCTGAGTAGCTCTCGAGGAAAAAGTCACTTGCAAACTAGGTTCAGAGGTAACGACTGGGTCCCTGTTGGGAGGGGCAGGGAGACCAGGTAAGAGGTGATTTTTATATGCAGGATAAAGTGTGTGGAGGGGGGACCAGGAGCAGACACACTTGGGAAGGTCTCGGGTGCCTTTCGGAAGGGTGGGAGAGATGGTGAGAGGGGTTGGGCCTGGGTGCTTTGGACAGAGGATTTGTCACGGAGAGGTCACCAGTCTGTAAGTCAGTCTCTCTGACACATCGAGGCCCTGCCCAGACATTGCTCTTTGAAATAACCTCAACCTGTTCCCCAAAGCCCCCCGGCAAGCCCCTCAAAATAGCCCTGCCCAGGGAAGAGGCTTTCATATGTGCAGCCCCCTAGGGCAGCGCCACGTGGGAGACACTCACGTTTCCAAGGACATGCTGGGACTTGCTTTCTCTCAGGTTTTGTTATTTGTGTCCCCAGTTAATTTTGGGAATTGTCAGATGGCATTTTCCCAGGCCAGACAGTTTGGACCGAAACAGCAGGACTGTGAAGGAGCCCTCAGGGGAAGTCATCGAAGGGCACCGTTCCCTTTGGCGGGAACTCACTGTGCAATTAAACCACAGGCCCTGAGCTCGCTGGGGTGCAGAACACGTAGTTCAAGGAGAGTGCTCAGCCTAGTGCCTGCAATGCATTTTATGGATACAAAGTTTGTGGATGCATCTTGCACCGGCAGAAAGGAAGACAGGCCAGGCCTCAGACGGACTGGACATAAGGAAAAACAGGCTCCAGATTGTCCCTCGGCTGTAATGTGTGTAGCATGTTCGCTATATAAACAGACCAAGCCAGATCACTGGCTGGAACAGTTCCCTCCCTCGGGCTACGTCTGCACTGCAGGCTTTTTGCACAAGGAGCGTCTACACTGCACACGCATTCTTGCGCATGTAAATTTACAGGAAAGTGTCGGAAAACAGGGCTTCTTGTGCAAGAGTTATTCCTCTCCTCGTGAGGAATAAGCCCTCTTGCACAAGAAGACAGTGTGGACGGGCAACAGGGGTTTCTTGCGCAAGAAACCCCTATGGCTAAAATGGCCATCAGAGCTTTCTTGCACAAGAGAGCATCCACACCGCTATGGATGCTCTTGCACAAAAGCACATGGCCGTGTGGACGTGCTCTTGTGCAAGTACTAGTATGCAAGACCTCTTGTGCAAAACAGTTCCTTGCACACGAAGCCTACAGTGTAGACATAGCCTTGGTGTTTCTGCAGCAGCCCAGAGAAAACAAGCCCCTTCCTATCCCGTGCAGCTGGAAATCGGCAGGTACTCACACATCGGTTTGAGTTGTCCAATGAGTTCCTCTTTTGTCCATTTTGCCCACTCCTTCTTGTCTGTGTTTATGGAGCATAGGATGGGACCACATGGTTTTCCACAGTCCTCTATGGCAGGTACATTCAGGTAGTGCACCAAGACGATGTCAGGGTTCTACAGGGAGAACAAGAGAATAAAGACCTTAAATACCTGGGGCCACTTCTGGTTTCTTTCCCCGTGCCAGAGTCGGGAGCTTGCTCTTCCTTCGGGTAGTTATTGCATCGTCAGTCTCGGAGACAGACGGAACTCACCCCCACTTGTACGTTCATTCCCAGAGACCATGGCCGTTCTCCGCAAATGACAGCCCTCCCACCCGCGTCCCTTTGCTTGCATCTCACTCTTCTCTTTGTTTAGATCCAATCCTTTCAACCCATGGCCGCAGTGACGCCCCCAAACACCAGCCACAACTGCTGCAGAATAAGAGGCACATGAATCATTTGCTCCATCAAATGCTTTGATCAATGTCGGTGCACATTAGAGTATTTGAAATATATGGAAATAGACACGAGCACATCAATAAGAGCTGCACTTTCAGTACATTTGCAGGAAAAAGGAAGGAAAGAGTCATGGAAACGGACACTCTTACACAGTGCCCCGAGCATAGCATGCGTTCACCCACTCCTGCCATTTCTTGCCTTTTGAAGAATCTTGCATGCTTGTAATAAAAAGATCAAGCTGAAGAAATTTGGAATCAGAATAGAGAGCAACTCTGCAGAGCTTCTGTGTATGAGTTTTTTAAACAACTACGGGTACCTGCTCCTGCAGGTTTGTTTAATGCCCAATACATTTTCTCAGCTCATATTCTTCAAATAGGAATCAAGGGGAAGAAAGAAAATGCAACCCCTCTCTGGTGCACTGCAGCTCTGCCGCAGCGACACAGACTTTCCAACTAGAAAACTTAAGAGAATATTTATTACAGGGTGAATAAATGAATCATCTTAACAACAACACAAACAACCACTGTAGCTTCCCCACAGTGTCCCAGGGAGATTGTACAATAGATAATAACAAGATTGAAAACTTGATTTCTTTCAATGCAACCCCTCTCTGGTGCACTGCAGCTCTGCCGCAGCGACACAGACTTTCCAACTAGAAAACTTAAGAGAATATTTATTACAGGGTGAATAAATGAATCATCTTAACAACAACACAAACAACCACTGTAGCTTCCCCACAGTGTCCCAGGGAGATTGTACAATAGATAATAACAAGATTGAAAACTTGATTTCTTTCCATTTACTGCTAATTTCACAAACTTTAATGACTACTTGGGAATTATTTATAAAAATAAATAGGATAATGGTGTAATTAAAACTGTAATGTTTCATTAATGCTGTTAGAGACCAGCTCCAAATTGGAGCAGGAACACAAACTGCCACGTGTCTGCAAAGACCGCACTAATGGGAGTCAATTTCCTACTGAACAGAGAAGAAAGAATGAGAGCAACAAATAGACTCCAGTACCAAAAAGACAATTTACTAATGAACCTGCCTTGAAAACGGACCATGAAGTAAATGAGCTTTCATCCCTCTGATGGGCAAAGATCTCACAGGCTTCTGATAGCTTGCAGATGCTCAAGATATCACACCGTTAATGTCCTGCCATTTTGCTGAGACAGCAAACAAGGATGCCACCCTGTCCAATTCATACAGCCCCAGAGAGCAGCCTCAATACAAAATTACTTTCAGTCGCCACTCATCTGTTCCAGGCATGAGCCAGTGACCAAGCAATCAAAGTCTGTGTCACTTGCTGTGTGTCTCTCGCATTTTTGGATGAAAAATGGGGGCAGGGGTGAGCAGACTGGGACGTTGCTACATTTTTAGAATGAGAGGTTTTGATGCTTTTTGGAATGACTAATTTTTAAATGCTTTAAAATCTGTTATATAGTTCAGCCTCCCTTGATTTGAATAGGAGCAGAATGAGCAGCCAATGCTGAGCACTTCTGAAAATTCCCAGCCTCCATCACTAGCTCTGTGCTGGCAGGCTGAGTTCCTATTGAATCATTGGCTGGCTTACCACAAGCCAGTTCCATGATGACCGTCTGTGTTTCTGGGTGTGACTTTGTTAGGTGGGATAGACACATTGGCAGAGCTGTTCGACTCACATGCATCAAGCCACACTGCCAGGAAAGGGTCATGTGTGAGCTGTATTTGCACAGCACACATAGGTTGCTTCTCTATAATATTCACCCCAGGGAGCATCACCACGAAAGCATCAAGTGCCAGCGAAATCAGACACATCAGACAAGATGGAGAGAGGGATCCAGCAGGCGCAAAAACGCTAAGGCGAGGCCAGCCACAAGAGCTACAATACACAACGTCCCAGCTGCCGCGGTTCCTGAGGGCGATCGCTCTGGGGAGCCGGGACATGGGTCAAGCAGACTTGGTTTTAGAGCAATGACACGTCACCCCCAGACTGAGGGCCCGTCAGGTGAGCACTAGGACATGAGGAGTAACAGTTAATTCGAACTCAGGAGTTAGTTCAAATTAACGTTTGACTGCCACGTCTAGCCGTGGGCAGTTTGGACTAAGGGGGATTTAAAAATGGTGGCACCCGGGAACATGCAAATGATATTTAAATCCCAGGCTTCATTTGCAACTCCGGTTGCCCTCATTTACCAAGGCAGCTCTCTGCATGGCGCTCAGCCCCAAAGAGGGAGCGCCACTGCCACCCAATGGATCCCCAAAGTCAAAGTGGAGTGGCACCTGAGGCAGGTGGCTGGCAGCCTCCCCCGGCAGGCCTGGCCTGTTCGTGTGGGCGCCGGGTGCCAGGCATTGAAGATGCGCCCTGGATCCCTGCTCTGCCACACCAGCAGAGCCAGAGGCGTTTCCAGCAAGCCAAAGGACTCCAGGGGAGTTGTAGGAGGGACGCCCAGTGAGGGTGTCTGGGCTGGGGCAGTCCTGGACAGGCGCAGTGTGTCCCCAGCCAGCCTGGTGATTGTGTCTCTTTTCTGTATGAGCAGCAATCCCATTCCAGGCACATCCCTTTGTCCTGGCACAACCAAACCCCGACCTTGCTGTGAGTTATGACAAGAGGAAGCTGCCTACCAAACTGGGGGTCTTAGCTGTTACCATGTAGGAGGAGTTGCTGAACAGACACAGACAGACAGAGACACTCACAGACAGCCAAACCTACAGGAGGTCAGACTAGGGACGGAGCCATGTATTCTAGACAGACCCTAGATGATCCCAGTGGTTCCTTGGCTTTGGAGTCTACCAAGGTAAGGGGGAAGGGCTTTTACTGTTGAACTCAACATGGTAATTTCCCAGCAATGGGAATGGAGGAGAGACGTTAACAGACTCTGGCAAAACCAGGAAACCATTAGTCTGAGGTTGAAAAAGCAGCTGCACCAATGTGGGGATGAGAAGGGACACTCGCTGATGTACAATAGTGCATTTATCCCTAATAATGTCGTCTGTATTCCGCCTGGGAGCTGGAGCCGCTTTACTGCTACCATCAGAAGCTAAATGCCAAGTTTCCGACATTAGGGAAGTTTAGCATCCGAGACACGGCCTGTTTCTTTTTCCCAGAGAATCTTGTTTGGAGTAACAGGAAGCTGTGAAACCCGAGCCCCCTGCTGCACACTCACGACTTCCTTGGCCCCTCCGAAATAACTCCCCTCCCTTCTTCCGCTTCCCCCACAGACCTCCACATTAAACCCTGTTGACACCCGGTTGCTAGTGCCAAGCCAAGGAGGTCGTTGCTCCACTTCTCCTTCCGGGGTTACGTTGTAATGTGCTAATCAGCAACCCTGCTTTCGCCAGTAAGAACAACCGAACTTGCTGCTAGCGCCGGGGAGACAACGGCAAGGGATGGGCATCGGGCACTTTGGCAGCTGCCCTCTCTCGGAGCCAGACGAAACATGGCCCCTGAGGAGCGTGGGTTTGATTTCTGACCATTTCACTGCTTACAATGCATCAGGAAACCTGTTTTCCATCTGCAGGCTCAACTCACCTAGGAAACACTCCAAGGTTCAGCTAGAAGACAACCCTGCCAAGCACATCCAGTCTGCAGGGAAATCCGGTAGGAAAAGGTGGCCAGCCATCACTCCGAATAGATACCCAGCACAGTGATCCTAATGCTACGTGTGTCAGCAGCTCCACTGAGCCTCTGCCACGTGCCAGGTGAGAGCAGCAAGTCTGCCTGGCAACTGGCAATCTGGGACAGACACTGCCAGTCTTGGCAGATCCAGAGAGGGCCTTTGGGGCGGGGGGTAATTTGTTGCAATAGCCTTGGTGTTGTGGTGTAGGCAGGCACGTTACAAGATATGGTTAAAATGCAAAAAGCTGTTAGTTTTGATAAAGAAAAATGCAAGTGCAACATCTGTTTGACTCTTGTTTGCAGCTTCATCAATGCTAAGTGGTCAATAAATCAGCCTGGCATGGCGTCCCGTTTCTTCTGTGGCTCAGTCATTAATCTAATGCCAGTTCTCATGAAAAATGAAGGAGAAAGGCTGTGTGCTAGCGGCAGTGCACACGCTACCAGAAACCAAGACCTGCGTGGCGTGGGCTCAGGCTTCCCCGCATGGCTGCTGGGCAAGAGGAACAGCCTCCAACGCTAACCGCTACACACAATTTAAAGTCGCAAAGTAAACTGGCGACTGATTGTTCCACCAGCCCGTTTCATGACGGCATCGGTCCTCTGAGCACTATGCACGCACAACTGCAAAGCTTTTCCTGCAGCCAGACTGTAACCAGTTGTGGTGGGGCAAAGGCAGCTAAAACAGAGCCCCAAGCCCCAGCAGGATGACCTCGTCTGGAGCGAGGACACGCTGGGTACAGCAGCGCTTCATGGCTTTGGTATCAGATGCTGGCGGGGGGGGGCTCTTTCGACGTTTGCCTCCCAGCAGACACACTTCCAATCTGGAAGCACCGGAGGAGGGGCAGGCTCCAGCAGTCAACCAGAAAAGGCAATGGCCACAGTTAAAAGAGAGAGAAAGGGAGGGAGAAGCAGAGGGGCAGCCCAGTGTGCTCTGCCTGCAGCTGGTGGGACTCTGCTACGCCGAGAGGCTGCGCTTCGCCCCAGCAATAACAGGTCACCCAGCGGCTGGCTTCTGCCTCCCAACTGGCCCGGGCTGGAGACGGGACATCTCCCCGAGGCGAGGTCCGGCGCGC